AAAACAAGAACTCGATATGACATGAACAGCACAAATTGCATTGTAATCTATGTAGGATTTCTTGGGGGTGGCAAGGTGGAAGAGATGAAACTAGTTTGCAAAGGCCAACCCTCAGGACACGTTCAGACTGCAGGATTTTTCAGCTGACAAGCAAAAGGAAGCCTGGAGATTAGGTTGGTTGAAATCCTGCCTTAAAGATGAGAGAGAATCTAAAGCAGAACCTTTCACAAGAACAAGCAACACACATGTCAACGGGCTGAAAAGCATCTCCCCAAGCAGCAAACAAACCAGCCCTTTCCTAAAGTGAGGCTAAACAGCCAGAACGTGTTTGCAACTTCCAAAGCAAAACTCAAGACAGAAACAAAACCCACTGTAATTTTACACTTATTTTTCACAGCTCTCATTGACATGCTATTTTCATTTGCCTGACTACTCCTCTTCTCTTAAAAAAGGAGGAAAAAGCATTTTACACTGAACCTGTACAATGAAACCTCTTGAAGAAGTTTAGTTGAAAGACTACTTGAATGACTAGAAGCAGAAAGTGCCCAAATCTAGCCAGAGGGAGGGAAAAAGGCCACAGCATTCACACATGCCCTGCCAGAGAGAGACCTTACTACAGAATTTAAGGTGCACTGAGGCCAGGACTAGTGTCAGCGTGTGCTGCCACACGAGTTATTTATCAGTCAGTGCTGTGGGGGTGGCACAAGGCAGAAAAAGGAGGCAGAGAGAAGCACACACGTTCACACATCCACCTCTGAGGCCGTGCAGAGCAGCAGAACTGTTCCCTGCTCACCTCTCTCCCTGTTGTCCCGCCTGTCCCGCTCCGAGTGTCTCCTGTCAAAGGAGGAGTCCCTGCCTGGCTCCCGACTGTCGTAGCGATCCCGCTCCGCGTAGCTGCTCCTCGACTCCCAGCTCTCGTGGTAGTTCCCACTGCTGCTGTGCCCATCAGCCTGGGATCCTCTCGTCCCTCGGCCTCCTGAGAGAGATGTTCCAACAGGGAGAGGTGAGTTCCCACAGGCAAGGGACCCACTCATATTTTATACCAACTAAAGCAGGAACTTGTCATAAACATGAGTTAAACCTTCCTGGAACAGAAACGGAGGCGTCAAACTCAATCAACAACTCAAATTTCAGATGTTTTAATTGTGAAGTTGTTATTTTCAAACTGCAGGCTCAAGGGGTTCTAAATCACTATCCCCTGGCCACAGCATGAGGTCTCCTCACTGGAAATACAGCAGCCCAAAAGGCAGCTCACATTGCTGAGTAGGGTGTGAGCCTGCAGTGCAGCACAAAGAAGCAGAGAAAGTAGAGATCATTTTTGCTGTAAACATTGGGTGGCATTTCCCTAACAAAAACATCACAATAAGCCTGAGAAAGCCACAACATATTTAGTACAGGTGACTAAAAGGCAGTAAGTGAAGCTGTTCTACAGAGTGCATCAGACTTTGAGAACATACTGCCAAAGGTTAAAGTCCCACTTTTTTTTCCCCCAATCAAGGAGTGGGTGGGTCTGTGAGAAATGTGGTTTTCAAGTACCTAAGATGCTCAGCTGCTTTTGAGAGCACACTAAAAACCTGCTGCCCAGTACTTGGAGATCCTTTGCCTCCTAGGAATCCTCCACTACACAGCAGCCTCTTACTTGTGTGCAGCCCATGGGAAAACAGAGGGCTGCAGAAACATCACAGAGTGGTGTAGGGGTCAGGGCTGGGTTTACACTGTGCTGGCAGAACACCAATGTTAGGCCACATTAATGAAGAGGGAACACAGAAGTGCTGTGAATTCAAGCAACCATCCCAGTTTCACAACAGAACTGAACCCAGCTTTAAAAGCATGAACTGCCTGGCAGCACCTCCACACCAAAGGTCAAACCAGACAGCACGAATGTCAATATTCAGTCCCCAAGGACAGGGACACATGAATATTTCAAATCATGCCATACCCTTGTCAGACAGTTCTGCACCTCTGCCTCGACTCCGGCCCGTTCTGTCGCTCCTGCTCTCGCTCCTGGAGTCACTCCTGGAGTCAGTCCTGGTCTCAGCACGAGAGCTCTCCTCTCGGCCGTGCGCCCGGCCGTAGCCGCGCGACTCCTCCTGGTACTGCTCCTCCTTCTTGTGGGCATCACGCCCCTCCCTGTCTCTGTAGTCGTGGGAGTCCCGTGTGGAGCGCGAGTCCCTCTGCTCCCGACTCTCCTTGGGGTCTCTGCTGTAATCCCTCGTCTCTCGGGAGTCTCGGGGCTCCCGGGGCTCCCGGCGCTCTCTGGGGTCTCTGCTCTCCCTCCGATCTCTCCCGTCACGAGACTCCCGCTCGTCTCGGGGCTCCCTGGAGGAGCTCTGCTCCTGCTCGTACTCACGGTCATCTCTGCTCTCTCTTTCTTTTTCTCTTCTCCCTCGAGTTTCTGTAACACGTTTAAAAGACGGTTACACACCCGGCTTAATCAGAGCGAGCAAAAGCTCAGCACAGGAACACTAAAACAACACAGTCCAAATAAACTGCTGACAGACACAGAGAGAAATCAACATTGCAGTGAGAGCAGGGGAAGATCACATTGGACATCTACTTATTCATCAGGCTTTAAAGATCTTTTGGTCAATCTGAATCTGTACTTTACAATTATTTAGCTTTTCAAAAGACATCAAGTATAATAAAAATCAACTTCAAACATATTAGAGAGCAAGCACATTGCAATAATTTGAGGTAGGATCGTTTCCCCTCCAGCTGGAGATTCCCTTTTTCCTACACACACACATTTTCAAGAAATTTGTGCTACATTCAGACTTTTAAGACCTTAATGTCTTGCTAAAGTATTTTTAATTGTATGTTTATAATGTTACTGCTACAGGAAGGTCAGTTTACAGGCAGTCTAAGAGCTGACAGATGTGCTCTGTAACCTGTGTCTTGAGAGAACAGCACGTTTGCCCATCACAAACTGCTGCAGCAGCTGTACAGCTCTCCAGAGGCAGTGGCTGCTTCTCTGCACACACCTCACTTAATGCCAGTTCAAAAGACAATGGGCAGAGCAATCGGGGAGGACTGGATCAGCATTTGGGTACCTCACAGAGGAGAGCACCAGTTACTCACAAGTACCCTGCTGGCACTCAGCTGATCCACTGCTGTCTGAACATCACTCACCTACTGACACCACCCCCTCCCTACACAAGAAGCACCCAGGCAGATGCCCACAGGATCTCTGCAGCCAGCTGAGCCGACAGCAGCACTCCTGTCAGGACACTCTGTGAACCACACCACAGCCAGGATTTCCTGCAGCCCCTGCCCACGGGGACGGGCACGGCCCAGGCCACGATCCCCACACCAGGTTTCAGAAGGCAGTTTGCAAAGCTGCATCCTGCTGAGGTGCCACTTGCTCACTCCTACCATCCCGCCTCTCGTGGCGCCTGTCGCGAGACTGCGACGCCCGCTCCCGGTCGTGCCTGCCCTTGTCTCTCCCAGGAGATCTGTGTCTCGACGGGCTCCGCTTCCTCTGGGGAGAGGAGGAGTGTGGGGGGTAGGGAGAAGAGGACCGCCGGGCGGGCGGGGAAGCTGCCCGTGGGCAGGCTGGGGAAGGAGTTCTCCTGCGGCGCGGGGAAGGAGAATGTCTCTGCACAGAGGAGCCCGACTGGGATGAGGAGGAGTGATGTCTGGAGGAGAGGGGGGAATGGTGCTGGCCTGATGGGGAGGCAGACCTGCAAGGAAGAGGCACAACAGGCACACAGGTAAGGACTTGATTTGAAGGGGTCTCGCCACGCTCTGCAAAAAAGGGATTCACATAATTTTTGCATTCTCTGTCTGCTGAAAAATAAGTGCTGGTTCTACAAAACATGGAGCCAGTCTCCCCTCAGGGGTACCAAGGATATCACTTCAAAGGCTGCTTATCTTTAAATGGTTATAGTTTATTTAATACCCAAGAACAAGCTGTCCAATCAAAATTATATTACACAGCTAACTGAATGCTCTCCTGGGGGAATGGAGGGAGGAGTCAGAAAAAAACAGGATCTCCTTCTCCCCGGCCTCAAACCAAGAACAACTGTTTTCTTCAATAAAAAATGGGTTTTGGAGTACATGGTAAAGTTAGGCTCAGTGTTACATAGGGGGAGTTCTTCTTTTGTGTGTGGAGCCAGCATCTGTGTGTCACCTCACCCATTTTAAAACAGAGAAACTCTGTTCCTTCCCATCTCCAGGACAGAAGACATGTTTTTGCTTTAAGAAGGGGGAAGGTGAAACTTGGGAAAAAAAGACAAGACTCAGAGCTCAAGTGTTCTAGGCACACCCCCCAAAAAAGGACATATCTGATCAAACCATCAAACCAAGCGAGGCAGTTTCTACATGAGAACTGCTCATGGAAACAAAACCCCTGGGGCTGAGCTCCCACCTGCCAGAGGGTGAGAAGTTCTGCTTGTGAGGGGCTGCCTTGGCTGGAGCTCGGGAGGTTTGTCTTCGCCTTGCAGCAGGTGGAGAATACTCCCTGGAAGGAGAAGAATTGCTGCCAGAGCGATCTGCAGGGCTGGGAGAACGCTTCTGCCTGTGGGAGCTCTCAGAGGGGTCCCTGGAGACACAAACAGCAGCCTGGTGAGCACTCACAGAGGGGCTGAAGCCACACCACAAGAAACTACAAACAACTCCCAGGCAGAACCTGTGTTCACAAGATCAAGAGCTCCTTACAGAAGCACTTGTTCCATCCATGATTCCATATACCTTAAGCTAGAAAAACTCAAAAATGTAAGATATGCACTGAATTTCTTGCTAATCAAAACTAGATATGGGGAAAAAAGATATTGTTGTAATTTAACCTAATATTTCATGTGGCAGTGAAACAGAATTCCTATCAGAGAATTATTTTGTTACCCTATTAAAAAAATTCAGCAATATCAGAACTTTATTTGAGAAGCCTCAAGCTCACTTTTTCAAACACTCATCAGTTTCAAACGAAAGATCTGTCAGAACATTCAACTATTTCACTTACTGTACATCATGAAGATTCAACATGATTCCTTAATTTTTATTTTTTAGGGGAAAAAAGACAAAAATCCAACACTGAAATCTGGGCTGTAGCCCCCCAGCAATACCTGCTTATAATACAATGATAAGACAAGTATTCTCTTGATCCCCCCAGCAGTATCTGGAATGTTTTCTACTGCTTATGACTCCCCACCAGTGATGGAGTGGGCAAGCAGGAGGGAAATAACAGATTTTAAAGTAAGAATAGCATAATTTATTTAATCAGATAAAAATACACAATTCCCTGGTCTTCCATTCTTTAGTGTTTGCTATGCTAGTCACAAAGTGAACACTGACATGAACCCTATTGGTATCAGAGGAATCCAGGACCTAAAAAGGCAGAGGATGTACTTTTCAACTTGAGGGGACCCCCATGCTTCAAAAAACAAGGAGAATACTCCTCTTAGTCCACTATTTGATTGAGAGAGAGAGACAAAAGTGAAGCAATGCTAAAATCACAGTGGTCTTTGACTGCTTTAGAAATACTTTTAACCTCCTGAAGATTAAGGAGAGTTTAAACTTGCCACTGCCAGTTTAGAAAGATATTAGTCCTCTAAGGTTTCAGCAAGGCAGGCAAGCACACAAGTGAATGACTTTGACAAAGATTTTGGCAAATGAATTGCTCCTCTGGTGATGGTCCAACTGCCTAACAAGTAATGAATCTCACAATAGGGCATTCTACCAATTTATTAAGTTATGTAATTAAAACCTACCAATCTGTTAGTTCTAGTCTATCAATCCATCTACATCATGCACTTAAAACACTTGATGAGTGTGGAGAAGGTTGTTGGCAAAGCAGGTCTAAATCCCTTATTATTCAGTGTTCCACAGGAGGCAACTTTAACAGCCAGGGTACAGTAAGTGAAAAGCCAACAAGGCAACAGCAC